GTTTATTTATTTATTTATTTGAAGAATTGATGTTACTGCTCTATGTATTCCTGTCATACTTATGGCTCTAACAGTTGCTATCGCAATGATTTTATTTATATCAATTCTATAGTCTTCCAGGCATTTTTGCACAAACATTTACTATATCTTCTTCACGAGAATTTGCCCTGAGAACGATAGCAATCCTACAGTTCTTCATTTGGACTTTGGGAGGATATATACCCCACGAAAAGGGTAACTTGTGTCGTGTCTTTTATGTCACAAGACTCATCTATAGCAAGTGATTAGGCAACGTCAGCTGAATGTCTTCCACTTGCATATGTGTTACATTTGAAAACATGTTAGCAGTTTTATCTTGTACTGTTTTTGCAGATAATGACAAATCTTTTATTTTATTTTTTTTATGATTTCTGCTTTGATTTTAATATCACGAAACAGTTATTCAGATGCATGTATAAAACAATCTTTGACGTATTTGATGTGAATGGTTTTACTCTTTTCACAATTTCTAATGATACTGCAGAGCTTGGCAGATTTACATTATTGGAAGATTATACCCAGTTACTTAGCATGGAATATGACTGCTTTTTTTCCTTTTCTTTTTAGCTCTTTAAGAGCTTTTTTCGTACATTCCTGGTTGGATATTTATCAGCAAACTGGGTATATTTTGTAGTGAAATGTCTTACCAAATTCGACTTCTTATTGTGTGCGAGTTTTTGGTGGCAAATGAGACAAATCGGAAGGCCATCTGTGTTGCATATGAATGCAAATGACTCCTCCCAATCCTAATTGAATTTTCGGTTTTCTTCTTCAGTTCTATTTTTTACCAACTGCCATGCTGACGGTGGAGCTGAAGAAATGAACAATAGTTAAAATTAACAGTACAGGAACAATGGTTCAAATTTATCTCATCATGGTCATGTTAAGCATAATTAACGATGATGAAAAATAGAAGCTGTTGAGAAATTAGGTACTTAAAAATATATTTTCTTATTTTTTAAGGGTTTTGATAATAAATTATTAATTTTTGTGTATGGAACTGGAGAGCCGCAACTTTAAATACATAAAAAACGCCACAACTTTGCAAAAATCAAAAGAGCCTCAGGTTGCCGACCCCTGCCCTAGCAGAATGAAATAGTATCTAGAATTTAGCATAGCATGAATATGAAAAAATTGACTTGAATTTTAATGGTTTTTGAGTATGGTATCAGCAAAAACTAGTCTATTTATATATATATATATTTGTGTGTGTGTGCATGTGTCTGTGATATACATCAGGATCATTTCAGTAAAAGCCATTTTTTTATACATAAGACTAAGTAGCATATTTTTTACATTGTTTAAGAATTTATTTACTGAGTAAAATATATGTTATGAATTAAATATATTCTCTTTAATTATTGTATGTCAGAACTTAGGTCTCACCAGGTGATGAAAGTTAAAACTGGTACTTTGACATGGGTTTAAATCTTAGGAAATGGGCTGCTGCATGGGAGTATTTGAGATCTTTTTCATCTGTAATATGAATATGAGCCAGTTCCCCTAAAATAAATCCTCCATAAAGGCATCCTCTCCCTAGAAGGATAGCTCAATCAGACATAATGCACAATAAAAACTGATCTTTATTTCAAGACTAACTGATCACTAACTGACTCAATAAAAACTGATCTTTATTTCAAGATATACATAATACTGCTCGACAGACTGGACTGTGTTCTCTGTGCTCCTTCAATATTTCTCTTTAGGGCTGCCATATTTATTGGCTACAATACAGAGGCAAGGTTTGCTCCTTTATCACTACCATGGCTCACCACCACAAAGTTTCTATCCAGTTCCTTTGATAGCAGCTCGAAGGAATGACATCAAATCATCAAACATTTCAGAGGATACGTATTGAAGAGATTTGCCTTAACCGTTTGACTGCTATGTGGCGCAAAAGCGCTGCGATCATTTGTCTTGAAAACCGCGATGCAGTTAGTTATTTTAGAATAGACTCATGTTACAGAGTACACATGAAGTCAGACTATGTTCACACCCACGAGGAGCAACAAAGACACACTGAAACTCGCAGAGTGGTTTTCGAGACAAATGAACACAGTGCTTTTGCGCCGCGTAGCAGTCAAACAGGTAATTAAAAAAAAAAAAAAAAAAGGATACAAAATTAGAAGAGATCAAAATGGGATTTAGCATATTGCGAGGTTATAATACACTCATATAGAAAAGAAATAACAATAAATATATTACAAAGCAAACTTTAAAAAATTAAATTATAATGCAAGAAACAAGTTTTTTTGAGGAATGAACATATCTACCCAATCTTGTGTCCTAGAGAGTTCAGTAGCAGATTTGTTTTGCTAAACTGTCTAAAGTCTCTGCTTGGTTTCAGTTCAGAGAAATCAGAGTCCGAAAGCAAATAGGTTGGTTTTACACTCTATAGACACAGCAGATTTTAAGACTGTGAAAGTCTTGTCCACTCCGAAGAGGGCTTTGTGCAGACCTGAATATGGCTGGCATGGTGATGGCTTTACTCGATCGATACCTAAGTACATATATGTACATGTATTTTAAGGTAGAACTTACGTAATACTTATCTTGACAATGTGCAAATGTTGCCATTGGGTTGCATTTTATGCTGGAGATTAGTGGCAAACTGAGAGTCATGTGAAGAGATCTTAGATATCATTATCATATCACTGGGTAGCCTAAAAGTTGTGCCATACACTAGTTCTGCACAAGGAAGTCTGCAAATCCTCCTTGATGACTATCCAAATAAGCAAAACAACTGGGAGTATTTTAATCTAGTTGTTAGTCTCACAATCTCACAAGGCTTGAGAGAGGATTTTAAATGTCAGTGAAAGCATTCAACAATGCTATTTGACATTAGATGAGTAGGCTGTCTTTGTGATTTTGGTTGTACCCCAAAATGTGTGTAAACTGCTTACATTGTGGATTTCATTTGAGAACTTTTGTCTGTTGTTATGACCAAAGGGCAGCCAAAGTGAGATATCCGCATGTTGAAAATATCTCTGCAAATAGTTTCAGTTTTCATATCCGGGATAGGTCTGACATTGGGCCATCTGAAGAACCTAAGTATTAGATTCAAAGGGTACATGTTACCTTCTGATGGTGATAATGAAATAAAAATTTCCATGGAGATTTCTGGAAAGAATCAGAATTCTGAATCAGGAAGAGAGAATACTTGTAGTGGTCTATTAGTGTGCCTCTGTATTTTTGATCTGTTCCCAAGATTTCGTTTGTCATAGACACTTCATATTGGGTCATATATAATGAGAACAAATGAGTTTCATAGTAGCTGAAATTCCTGGATGTAAGAGATTCTACAGTTGATTAAAGATCAGTTTGCAAAAAGGAATTCAGAACAAAATGATGAGGAACATCTGTAGAGATGTTATAAATATTACCTTCAGAGTATTGGCAAGACTTAAATTCCATGTTCAAAGATGATGTATTGTTTTTGAAAATGTGTTGTACCTCTAGATCATGCTGTTGAGCTTTGGAGAATTTTTGAAACGTCCCCAAAAATGGAGATGTATTTATAGAATCAATTTTAATTCTTGAAAGAACATTGGCAATGTTATTCTTAGAACCTTGCATATGTTTAACATCAGTAAAGTACTGAAAAATAAAATCTACATGACATAATTGTTGAGGTTTATTTGGGTTCATCCTCTTACTTTGCCATAATTTCCTAGTTGCGGAATAAATTAAAAATAATTCCTTGTTGTATGAGGCCATATCTCTTGATTTTTATTGGGTTTCACCGAGAAATGCTATTAATTTGGATGTGTCTAGGCAATTGCTTAAGAATGCTGCCGATTGTGATCTCTGAAGCATCTACTAGATATTTTACCGAGCTCCAGGAATAGGGTGTATCAAAAAGGGTAACCTGAGTAATGGCATTTTTGGCAGCAGTGAAATCTTGTTCAGTATTTTCATTCTAATTTAATTGTGTGAATGAGTCTTAACCTTCCAGCACGCACGTATGAGCAAAATTTACGACAAATTCAGTTTTTAATGCACATTTTTCGCATATCGAAGCTGAGATGTCTGAAAGTTGTTTCTGTTCCTCCTTTCTACCCTTCCCCACATCATGGAATGTGGCAACAGGAAGTTATTTGACTTTTTTTTTACTGGGCTTTTGTGCTGTGTGGCAGCTTTTTCATAAAAGTTACGACACGCGCATGGTCGTGTTTTAAAATTCGGAAATTTTTTTTCTGAAATATTTTGTAATTTTGTGTTGTTAATTGCTGTGTGTTATTTTAATTTGAATACATTTGGCTCTGTAAATTTTATATTGGTTTTCATTGCAAACAAATAGGTGCAGCCAGCTGATTTTGCTCGGATTTTTCAAGAATTATCTGATGAAGAAAAGAAAGACAAGGAAACCTTTGGTTGGGAGAACAGTAGCGATTTCCGTTGCTTATTTTCTTTTATTTCTATTTTTTAGAAATAAATAAAAACATTAAATTTAGTTTAAAGTGCGTTTTTGTAACCAGTAAGAAGTAAATTTCCTTGCAGAAGTAAGTAATGCTAAACTTACTTTTTTTCATATCAAGGAGTTTTCCTTTTTTATTGTCTAACTGCCTTTGATGAATATTAAAATTAGCTTCGATTTTAAAACATAATTATTAAATAATAAATTCAAAATTTTCTATAATGAAATACATCATTGCATTTCCGTCTCACTAACATAAGACCTTAAAAATAATTTAATTATATTTGAATGTGATATCATTTGTATTTTGCAGTAATAAGATTAATATTTTATTTCTTAACAAAATTATCAATATTCACTCATTTCTGTCGTTTTTCGTGCAAAAACGGTAAAATAGCAGATGTCAAAAAATACGACGCGCGCGTGCTCATGTAAAATTACCAAGCGCGCATGTTGGAAGGTTAACCATGAGAACAAGATTTCTTTTTATTGATATGTCATTCTAACAATTTTATTAAAGGGTAAAAAAAGTATTTTGCTTTAGGTGTGAAACATCTGTCAATGTGAACATGCCTAAGAATCACCATAAGAGTAATGGCTGAATTGCCTAAGAAGCTGAGTTATAGTGGTTGATTGAGGAAAATGATCATCACATGCAGGTGCTTTAGGTTTTTTTTTTTTTTTTTTTTATATATATAATCTGCATGAATAAATAAATCAACAAACATTCACAGTGATTCTAACTTATTTTTTTATTGAGTTGTATTTTACTGATTAATTTGTTTGTTAATTGATTCACTTTTGTTATAATTGGAATATTTCTACAGTACAAAGTCCTTGAGTTTGAATCATCAAGACTTCAACAATTCTGGATTCTAGATCATAAATTTAAATCCAGTAAAATAACATATAGGAATTATAAAATTAAAAAATATGTAATAGTAGTTGTTATGAAATAATGAAGCATTTATAACTTTAAGGGAATAAAATTTATTAAGAAAGTAAAGTATTCATTTGTTTTATTAAACATTTTTTCACTGTAAATTTTATATGCTGTTTCTTTCTTTCTTTCTTTCTTTTTTTTTTTTTTTTTGTTTGTTTTGTTTTAATGCTTTCTTTTTTATTTTATACACAGCCATAATTTCTTTTTCAGTTACAAATTTTTGTTGCTGAAGCCTTGTATTTACGGGTCAAGAATTGTCACTCCGAACTTTTATCACGGTCAGCTTCAATAAATGTAATGTCATTGGCTGCAGTATGATTCTCTAACAAGCTGGTGTTTAAAAGTGACAAGAATCTTGATTACATGGGAGAAAAATCATTTGTACAATTTTTTTTCATTCCTAGACCTTGAATGGAAAATAAAAAATAAAAATAATAATTGAAAAAATGTGCAATCAGGAGATTAGACCATTCCAGATATTGGACATCCAGATTTTAGATTTTGTACTGCATATAAATTAAATCCTTCAGTCATTCGAGTATTTATATTCACCAAAAAATCTGTTCAGATGACAGAATTATCTAGTGCCTATTCATGGTGGAATAATATCAATTACATAAGACCATGTAATGTATTTTGGTACTTTTCCGTTTCGCCGGCGCAAATCTCGCCAAGCAGACTTTATTGGCGACAACATACAATACACACATAAAAAATATTTAAAAATAATGTTAATTCTTCACTCGTACAATAGTTACTCAGAAATTATGTAAAATTGCAGTGCTTTACTTCGCTAGTGCATTTTCATTAGAATTTTAACCCTTGACTTTTACCTTTTCTGCTTTTCGGCTTCAGGTAAGCGCTGTGATTGCATCCTAATGACGTGATTACCGAAATGGCCTTACATAAACTGAAAAATCTGATAAAAATTCTATGTAATTATATGCCAGTATTGAAAGAAACAATCAATCTGATAAGAAAAAGCTGCGACTTGTATTGAAAATGAGGCGTAGAAGGTTACCAGCGAGAATATTCCGTTTGGCATCGGTGGTACCATTATTGGCGACTTTATCGCTTGCGCCGGCAAAACGGAAAAGTACCTGTATTTTATTCATGATGAAAAAAGTTGAAAAATATAAATTTATGGAATGCTTGTTAGCCTGCTGAGAGCAAATCCTGTATAGAAATATATTATTACCTAGAAACTATCAACACTATAATTGTTCAGTGAACATGTGTTTACTTTTACAGACTAAATAATATTGTATTCACATATGACTAGTTCTTATAGACAAAACAGCATGCATATTAACCATAATCAAAACACTTAATGTATCTATGAGATGTGTTATTGATGTATTACATGCCATTGGTAAATATGCATGGGACCTGAATGTGTCATAACTTACTGAAATAAAGTACATCTTATACCTCTTTCTGTCAGAGCTGTGTTAGGTGCATGAAAACTAAGTATGTGTACTTAGTGTTGATATCAAGTACTGTTTTTTGAATATAAATGCACACTTTTTTCAAAGAGCATAATATTTTCTTATATTGAAACTTTAATTGAAATTAAGTTCATTTCTTTTTCATGGTTACATGAGAATGTGAAATTTTATTTTTCAAGCAAATTATAAATTGTTATAAAAAATTATTTCTGTGAGTATTATACGAGATTTCATATCCACCAGCCCATAGGCATAGCTAAAGGGGCGATATTTGCCCCCAGGCGCAGATTCCAGTGGGTGCCAAATTGATGTTACGAATTTTTAGAATGAAATGTTTTCCATTCTTGGTGGACAGGGGGGAGAGGGCACGAGATTTTCAGCTGTCCCCGACACTAAAAACCACATGCATGAAATAAACATGCACCTTTCACAAAGAAAAATTCAGATAACTAAAAACTACGGTTATTTGAATTTTGATTCTACAGCAACAACGTAAAATCACATACAGTTTTATTTTTACAGAATGTAATTTAAATATGAATTACACTGTACATTTACATATATGAGGCTCACCAGCGGCCGAGCGGTAAAGACACTGAACACTGGTAGTTTGGTCTGAGGTCCGAATTCCGCGAACGGGCTGGCTGCATGGGCGTTT